ATATATATATATATATATAAGCAATTTTAAATTTAAATTATTTTCAATAAAACTTAAGCTTTCTTTCTCAAATTAATATTTTGTGTACTTGAAGATTCACAGTGGTAGAATGATAATTTAAGATCCTAAAGCTACGTGAAGATCCAATACACACATATAAAAAAAGTAGCATGAGGAGAACATAAATTTTTACGTAGAAAAATCTTGAAAAGTGAAAAATTCATGCGGCCTAGCTTAGTCAAAATAATTCATTATAAAATTTTAAGTACATCAATAAACCCTTACTCTTGAATTATAAAAGATATAATTATAATATTGATAATCATAGATGGACAAAATCATCTGGATTTAATATGCATTATTGGGCTACAACAAATATATTTTTTGACAATAATATTAATAGTGGTTTGCAAAAGTCGTAATTGATTGCTATGAAAGCATTACTTTGTTATAAAAATTGGTTATGATAGCATTAGTTGGCCACAAAGATTATAGTTGAAAGTTGTAGCAACAATTATACACGTATGCAGTAGTTGGTCATATAGATCATAATTGGATGCTGCAGTGACAGTTAGCTAGATAGGTCATAGTTGATCACATAGACCGTAGTTGGAAGCTATAATAATAGTTAACTATATTGGTTATAGTTGGAGGCTATAATAATAGTTAGTTAGATAGGTCGTAGTTGGTCACATAGATCGGAGTTGGAAGCTATAATAGCAGTTAGTTGCACAAGTCATTATTGGTCACATAGCCCCTGCTTGATAGCTGTAGTAGAGTCAATTGGCTACAGACATTGTCATAATTAGTAGCTATAAGAGCGTTTGTTGACCACAAAGGCAGAAGAGGAAGGTTGTAATGACAACAATTGATTAAATATGTCATAATCGAAGGCTGTAAAGACAACAATTAATCACATATATAATGATAATAGTTGATCACACAGACCGTAGTCAGAAGTTATATTAACAACTAGGGCTGTCAAAAAATCGTTGTTCGTTTGTTCGTGAACAGTTCGTGTTCGATTCGCCAAGGTGTTCGTGTTCGATTCGTTCGATAAGCAAACGAGACGAACACAAACACGTTTTTTCGTTCGATTTGTTTAACGAACCAAACACAAACAGTGATGCGTTCGTTCGTGTTTGAATCGTTATTGTTCGAAATAAAATAAAATAAATATGTATAAAAAAATTATGATATTTTAAAAATAATTATATACTCAAAAAATTTGTTATATTTTTAAAATTAAATCATGTAATTTACAAAAAAATTATTAATTATAATATATTTATCCCTAGTAATATAAAAATTATGTTATTTATATAATATAAAGTATATAATTTATATAATATATTATATTAATATTTTTATATATTAGAGTTTACTGTTTAGAAAATGAAAAAAAATCTTTTATTAACCTAAGTCATGTGTCTGCGGAAGCCCTAGCCCGTCTTTCACTCTTTCTGAGCTTAGC